GGTCGACCACGACAAGGACGGCAAAGGAGACGCCTGCGATCACGACGACGACAATGATGGCGTGCCTGATGACAAAGACAACTGCCGACTTGCCTTCAACCCAGATCAACTGGATTCGGACGGTGAGTCCAACGCGCCGGCGCTGATTTTAGTCCATTTTATGTGAAATTTTATTTGTGCAAGTGTAAACTTCCACATGCTGAATTTTTGTCTCTTTTCTCCTGCCCAGGAGACGGGCGAGGTGACGTTTGCAAGGACGACTTTGACGTCGATAACGTGCCGGATATTTACGACGTTTGCCCGGAGAACTTTGGCATCAGTGAAACAGACTTCCGTAGGTTCCAATTGGTTCCTCTCGATCCCACAGGAACTTCCCAAATCGACCCCAACTGGGTCGTCCGTCACCAGGGCAAAGAACTTCTGCAGACCGTCAACTGTGATCCTGGCATCGCTGTTGGTAAGTGGTTGAGAGATACAGCTCATGATAAACACATTCATCTACATCCAAATGTTAATCATCTTCTTGTTGTTGTCCCTCAGGTTATGATGAGTTCAATGCCGTGGACTTTAGCGGCACATTCTTCATCAACACAGACCGTGACGACGACTACGCCGGCTTTGTGTTTGGCTACCAATCCAGCTCACGTTTCTACGTGGTGATGTGGAAACAGATCACACAGACCTACTGGTCTCATACACCCACTAAAGCACAGGGGTACTCAGGACTGTCCATTAAAGTAGTAAACTCGACAACAGGACCGGGCGAACACCTCAGGAACGCTTTGTGGCACACTGGAGACACCGAGGGACAGGTACATATCGTACTCAAGCAGTCGTGAGAACATTCAATTGAGTTTGGCGTTTGAAATGTCCTGCTCACCTTATTTTGGACCATTTGCAGGTGCGTACCCTGTGGCATGATCCCAAGAACATTGGCTGGAAGGATTACACCGCCTACAGATGGCAACTAATCCACAGACCCAAAACCGGACACATCAGGTAAGTGTGGAAGCCAACTTAGATCAGGGGTGCCCAATCCCATTCCTGGAGCTCTACTTTTCTCAGTTCAGCTCGAGTCCTCATCAAACACAACTGAACCAGTTAATTAAGAGCTTGAGGACCACTTGATAATTGCACACAGGTGTGATGGAGCAGGGTTGGAACTGAATTCTGCAGGTAGGCGTATCTCCAGGAACAGCATTGGGCGGCCTCAACTTAGATCAACCGTTTTGTCCTAGGTACAAAACAACAGCTAAATCGGAAAAGCAGCTTCACTCACTTCTGTTCTGTTTATTGATTTTTAGAGTTATCATGTATGAAGGCAAAAAAGTCTTGGCTGAGTTTGCAAGGACGACTTTGACGTCGATAACGTGCCGGATATTTACGACGTTTGCCCGGAGAACTTTGGCATCAGTGAAACAGACTTCCGTAGGTTCCAATTGGTTCCTCTCGATCCCACAGGAACTTCCCAAATCGACCCCAACTGGGTCGTCCGTCACCAGGGCAAAGAACTTCTGCAGACCGTCAACTGTGATCCTGGCATCGCTGTTGGTAAGTGGTTGAGAGATACAGCTCATGATAAACACATTCATCTACATCCAAATGTTAATCATCTTCTTGTTGTTGTCCCTCAGGTTATGATGAGTTCAATGCCGTGGACTTTAGCGGCACATTCTTCATCAACACAGACCGTGACGACGACTACGCCGGCTTTGTGTTTGGCTACCAATCCAGCTCACGTTTCTACGTGGTGATGTGGAAACAGATCACACAGACCTACTGGTCTCATACACCCACTAAAGCACAGGGGTACTCAGGACTGTCCATTAAAGTAGTAAACTCGACAACAGGACCGGGCGAACACCTCAGGAACGCTTTGTGGCACACTGGAGACACCGAGGGACAGGTACATATCGTACTCAAGCAGTCGTGAGAACATTCAATTGAGTTTGGCGTTTGAAATGTCCTGCTCACCTTATTTTGGACCATTTGCAGGTGCGTACCCTGTGGCATGATCCCAAGAACATTGGCTGGAAGGATTACACCGCCTACAGATGGCAACTAATCCACAGACCCAAAACCGGACACATCAGGTAAGTGTGGAAGCCAACTTAGATCAGGGGTGCCCAATCCCATTCCTGGAGCTCTACTTTTCTCAGTTCAGCTCGAGTCCTCATCAAACACAACTGAACCAGTTAATTAAGAGCTTGAGGACCACTTGATAATTGCACACAGGTGTGATGGAGCAGGGTTGGAACTGAATTCTGCAGGTAGGCGTATCTCCAGGAACAGCATTGGGCGGCCTCAACTTAGATCAACCGTTTTGTCCTAGGTACAAAACAACAGCTAAATCGGAAAAGCAGCTTCACTCACTTCTGTTCTGTTTATTGATTTTTAGAGTTATCATGTATGAAGGCAAAAAAGTCTTGGCTGATTCAGGAAGCATCAATGACAAGACATATGCCGGAGGAAGACTTGGCCTCTTTGTCTTCTCTCAAGAGATGGTTTACTTCTCAGACCTCAAATACAAATGCCGAGGTAACATGTTTGGATGGTTTTGAAGAATATTCCTCTCTATAGTTCTCTTATTGTTCTGGAAAGTTCATGAGTGTTTGTTTGACTCTTTTGCAGATGCATCATAACGGCCCCATCAGCGTTTTCCTTAAGGATGTGCCCGCTATCTGTCGGTTTAAATGTGTTCTGTTATAAAACTCTTCTGCGGTGGGGTCGAGGATCCAAACGTGGAGGCCAAAAACTTTCAATCTAAACAAGAACCACAGGAGCAGATCGAGCATGAAGACCCAACAATACTTTCATCTCATCTATCTCAGCGACTCTCAGCTTGTTTCTTATCATGTGATTGGTAAAGGGAAGTTCTTCTGTAATGTCACCTCCGATCTGCTGTGGACTATGATCATGACGAAGGAGCCACTTGTGACTTCTGGTGGGTTTGAGATGCCACAGGAGGAACGGTTGAGGGGTGACGCACAGGACAGACAAGTCTGTTTGACTTTGTGAAAACGTGTTCTTCTGCATGGATTGAGACAGCCAGATCTTCAGGACTCATTGATTCAGGCTCGTTTTTCCATAAGTTATGAGTTACCCATTACACCCCCCCCCCCTCAAATTCAGCAGTCTTGAGGTCTGCTTTTGATCAGCTTCAGTCATCGATATTGACAACCCAAGAGTTTTAATTTCACTGTTTATAGAGCGGAGTGCTTCTCAGGGCTAGAGGGACCTTTGTGATTTGCTGCTCAATGAGGAAGTTCATGTCTTAGATTATTACACAGATGTCCTGATGAGCTTAAGCCAGACTCGAGAGTTTTTGTGGTTCTAAACAAGCAGAAATGAAAAAGGAAGTGGAAATGTTACAGAGGGATGGATAATAGGCGCACTTGTTTAATTTATTTATTTTGTTGAGAGGAGATGGATGCATGAGAACTCATCTCAGTGCCATGTATTACTGAAACAAAGAGAACAACTGGAGCGTTTCCTTCCTGGGGTGAATGAATGGTGAACAGAATATGATGTAAACGTACAAATATTACCTCACTGTTGTATAATATAACAAAAATTGCTAATTATATTTGTGCCATTTATAACTCAGTTTGCTACTGTATGTAGTAAAACATTAATTCTGTACATAATAAAAGAAAAAAAACTTTTTTATGAGATGCCCCAGTAGAACATGAATGCATTGTTAATATAATTAGTTTGTGCCTAATTAATGAATGATCTTTCTTTTTTTTTTTATAAGTTATTGGTAAAGCTGTTTTTTTTCTGTTGTGTATATATATATATGCTATTTAAATAATTTATAAGGAACTGTAACCTGACATTAGAAGTGTTTGTATAAACTGTTTGCACACTGATGAGGATTTTCTTAGTTTAAGAATGCTTCAGTGTCAGTATTGTTACTAGTTTTACACAACAATGTTGTTTAATTCGTATCAATCCTTTTGTAAAATCAATGAAGAATAAATACTTTTGATTCAAAAATGACAATGAAATGCTTTTGTTTTTAGTAGCTCACGACGTCAGCCGGCCTGATTTCTAAAAAAAAAAGGTTTACACTATAAATCTCAAAGAAATCCAGTCCATAAATAAGAATTTGTCTTAAGTAGACATTTTAATTGCGTAGTCTGTCTGCGGTTTGGTTTATGGTTAAAATGACTCAAGGTTACTGCTACAACAAAAGCTAATTTGGTCAAAAGAGCATTTTAAAAAACCCTCACATGAAATCCAGGATCTTTTATCAGCAAACACTCGGCTCACCTTCAAGGTCAGGAACGCTGGGAATGCTGGAGTCGCTGTAACACGTCCATACGTCCACACGTGCACAAACGTCATGCTTTACACTCAGTAATCTACAGTTTGTGAAGACAATGTGAGCTGTTTCCGCTTTAGCTCTGGACATTTAGTACAGTACTGTTCAAACGTTTGGGGTCCGTATGACTTTGTAATATTTTTGAAATACATCTCGTCTGCTCGCCAAGGCTGCATTTATTTAATCAAAAATACAGTAAAAATAGTGAAATATTATTATAATTTAAAACAGCTGTTTTCTATGTGAATCTCTGTTAAACTGTAATGTATTTCTGTGATGCACAGCTGTATTTTCAGCATCATTACTCCAGTCTTCAGTGTCACATGATCTTCAGAAATCATTCTAATATGCTGATTTGCTGCTCAAGAAACATTTCTGATTATTATCAGTGTTGAAAACAGTTGTGCTGCACAATATTTTTGTGGAAACCATGATACATTTTATTTTTCAAGACTCTTTGATGAACAGAAGGTTTGATCATGCATTTATTTGAAATAGAACGTGTGTCATTTTTTATTAATTTAAAGCATTCCCCAAACGTTCGGACAGTAGTGTGTGTACTTGCGTGGTGTTAATGAGCCATAACACAAGTGCACTAGTGAGGGTTCTCAACGAATCAGCATCAGACGGATTTGATCCACATATTTCTTTGAGTTAATCAAAAACTCATGACATGAATAAAAAGACATATTGGTTTGATTTTTGAAAAGGAACATTTTATTTTGTCCTCTTACGTTCTATTTCAGATGCACTGGAGTCTGACCGTGATGCTGACGCTGGCAGACACATCAGAGACTGGAAGCAAACACACTTTCGTGTCCTCACTTATTGTGCAACTCTAAAAGCACAAGGACCTAGATTATGAACCAGAGCGAAATAGAAAACAGAAGAACAGTCTCCTTCATATTTCATGCCTCTTTCTTTGTGTCAGTCTCACTGTGCTGTAGCAGATCCGAGCCAGAGAGACGTGGAGAAGCATCCAGAGCTGAGCTCGTCCCGAGAGATGATTCTGATGAGGAACCTGCAGGAGATCGGATCATGTCCTCCTCACATTCCTGCAGCAGATTCCTCAACTCATCGTCAGACAAACGAACCGACTGCGAGAGAAGAGCAGAGACGGACATGAGCACATGCGGCAGTGACCAAAACAAACACTTTCCTCATGAAGAGCTCAAACTAGTTCTGATTTGGAACTGGAGAGTGGATTCTTTTTTGGGCATGTTTTTACAAGCATTGACACCCATATGGCAAAAATATATACAAATGTGACCCTGGAGCACAAAAGCAGTCTTAAGTCGCTGGGGTATATTTGTAGCAATAGCCAACAATACATTGTATGGGTCAAAATTATAAATTTCTCTTTTATGTCAAAAATCATTAGGATATTAAGTAAAGATCATGTTCCATGAAGATATTTTGCAAGTTTCCTACTGTAAATATATCAAAACTTAATTTTTGATTAGTAATATGCATCGCTAAGAGCTTCATTTGGAAAAATTTAAAGATAATTTTCTTCATATTTTGATTTTTTTGCACCCTCAGATTCCAGATTTTCAAATATTGTCCTATCCTAACAAACCACACATCAATGGAAAGCTTATTTTTCAGCTTTCAGATGATGCATAAATCTCAATTTCATAAAATTGACACTTAAGACTGGTTTTGTGGTCCAGGGTCACATATATACTTTTTGGGCCAAAATATATTTTAAATACATTCTAAATATAAGTTGTAAAGAGTGAAGCTCAATGAAATATATTTTGGAAATTGAAAATATATTTAGTTTCAACCTTCATATACCAAAATATATTTTAAAATGTATTTCAGGGGCAAGAACATAACACGTGTTATAGACAAAAAAACAAAAAAAAAAAACAAAAACAAATGTGACATGAATGTATTTTCTTGAATTGAAATATATGGCGCTCAAAAAAATTTTTTTTAAATTCTTTAAAAAATATATTTATATTTTTAAAATAAATTCTCAAAAACATACAAAAAGTATTGGTAGAAAACATATTTACATAAATGTATTTTTAAACATATTTTAGCAACTATATATTTTTGTCCTTTTTTTTCATTTATTTTGAAATATATGTAAAATTATTTAAATTTGTTTCCCCATGAGTTTTCCACATAAACACACCACAGAAGTGATCTTAAGTTGAAAGAATTCTTCCTCTGAACAGACTAAAGTACAGCGCGTTCATCATTCTCCAGACTGCTCTGACCTCCAGTCATCAGCTCGTGTTCCTCAGTAAACTATTGTCTTTCTTCCCTCGGGGTGCGAGAGGCTGCTGGAGGTCGAGATGAGGGTGAAGGGTGAGGTCAGACCTCCTCAATTTACCACCAACACACTGAAACACCCTCACGCTGCAGAAACTCATGCTCTTAACTTACTATGTTTGTCTGGTTTTCCAGCGCAGACATCTGAACATCCTTAAATCAAGAGACATTTACTGGAGCGTCACAATGACTGTAGATTATACTTCTTGTTTTCTGAAAAATGCATCAAACTGAAGTGAGTTTATCATTAAAACAAGTTCAAATATCAGTCAACGGGGTCAGAAAAATAAGTGTTTTCCCTTTAAATTAAGTCTATTGTCAAATATGTGTTCTGGTTTAATCATAAATTCACTTCATTTTGATCAGGTTCTCTTATCTTCAGTCATTGTGAATCTCCAGAGAATAATCTTGATTTAAGTCTTGAATTTTGTTGCACTTTGACGAATTGATTTTTGAGTTGTGGAAAAACCTGATATTTTTTCTTGGTATTTTGTGACTTTTTTTGAAATCTCATTTAGGATCATGAACATGCATGCAAAGTTCAGATGATCTGATGAATACAAACATCGTATTAGGATTATAATGTTTGCGGGTCAATTCAACACATTTCATGATTAATGTCAGCTACACAGAAACAAAACAATTTTGATTATTATTGTTATTCTCTTATGTCAGTTTCTCAGCTGCTCTCTGAGGGTGTTTATTCACATTTATAAATCTGGCAGATGCTTTTATCCAAAGAAATTTACACTGCGTTGATGGGAATCGAACCCATGATCTTGGCGTTGCGAGCGCTACACTTTCGCTGTTTGAGCTTCAGGATTTGTTACAAATAATAAAATAAAATGTTATAATGCTGTTTATAAAAGTTGCAGTTTGTGAAAAGAGTAAAAATAGTTACATTTTATTTTAAAATATGTTCTCTTGTTTATTTTTTTTTTTAAATGTGTGGGAACCATTAATATTAAAGATTTTCAGTTTTTAACAGAACTTTTTTTTTTTTTTCATTTTTCTAATTATGTTGAATCCATTTAGGGTAAATAAAAACTGCACCTATCATTTGAATATCAAAACACACTATAAAGTATCATAATGATGAGTAAATGATGACAGAAGTCTCATTTTATTCTTGAGATCATGACATTAGACCAGACAAGTTTGATGAGAAGGACAGGATTCTGGATATATTTTTCTGGCCAACATATATTTTAAATACATGCTGTAAATAGTGAAGCTCAATAAAATATATTTTGAAAATTGAAAATATATTTAGTTTTAACCTTCATGCACTAAAATATATTTCAAAATGTATTTCAGGGGCAAGAAAATATATTTACAATCTTAAAAGTAGCCCACATTTAGGCTAAATGCAAATGTGGATATCCTACTAGAGACCCAAAATACATTTTTACATAAAGATTATATTTAATACATAAAAATGTTTATTTTTTTTTTATATATATATATTGTAATATGTATATTGTAATTTTTTTTTAAAGTAGTTTACCATTTTAAAGTATGTTCCTTGATTAATTTTATTCAAATATGTAATATGTTCACACATG